TTGCGCTACAAATATTTCAGGCCAAAAATTAAAAAAGAAAAACACAAGAAGCGTTCCCCAAACGAAACGTCGAAAATTCATGTATTCAAAAAAGCGCCTTCATAAAGTTTGACAGTTTTGTGTCGTACGAAATTTTTGACAGCTCCGAAGCACAGAAATATGGATGAATGCACGCATGAATAGTATGTGAATAAGCATCTGAATACGAATACGAATACGAATACGAGTCGAGCAAATGTTGAATGAACTGAATGCGATCTGTCGCTCGCATTCGGTGCGTACAGTTGTGTTTGGCTCAATGCCTCATACACTGTTCGGCAACAGGAAGAGGAGTATATTGGCTTTTTTTTTCAAAGTTAAACATAATTGAGAGAGTGAGAGGGAGAGCGAGGGCGCGAAAGAGAAAGGGAAAGTCAGCCTCAAGGCTTAAAGAACTTGCGACCCAAACATTGGATTTCATCGAACGATTTTGGGTTGATGCCAATTTCGGGTCAAGCTCAAATTTAGCCCGAAAATTCGATAGGAAAATATTTACAGATGGAAATATTTTCAGTACAACGAGCAGTTAAAAATTACATAAAAATGTCATAAGAATATACAGAATATAAGTATATATAACGATTTGGTTTTAGGCTACTTTGGCCTTTATTTAAGATATGGCCACATCTGTGCACCAACATACACCTAGGACTCGAACCAGCAACCTTCTTGTTTAGGTGCCATAGAAACTGGTGCTTGATGAAGCTTGAAACTCTGAAGTTGTTGTCAAATATTGTGTCTAATCGTTTCTTTTTTTAATCAAAAAAATGTGTACAAATAAATATATATATATATAGATTTATCTCTTTGGACTTAAATCACAAAATTCGTTTTATCGATGGTCTCTTCTTTTTCTGTCCTATTGAGTAAAAAATATATTTGATACTTATTTTTTCCTCTGTTCAATAATATTTCCAAAATGAAGAAAGCGCTTTTGCAGCTGTTTACAGCTTTTATTAGAGTTAACATAGGGTATCTGGTAGTCGGTAGCTTTGTGTCGTTAAGTTTTCAGTGCAGCTTAGTTAGAACAGTTACGACGGGGTGGCAACTCTGTTACAAAGTCGAAATTCGTCAAGTTGCCCGCTCGTCAAGGCTGTAAACTTCAGGCCAATTATACTAGAGAATATTGAGCGGGTGAGGGGGATAGGGGGGGGGGGGGGGTCCGAGTTATAAATTGTGTGTGCATACATATATACATATATGTGTGTGCGTGTGTGTAGATGTATGTGGTCTGTACTTAAAAGACCATTTTGGGCGTTAGCCTAATGAAAAGGAATATACATATATAAATGTACATAAAGTACATATAGTACATATAGTACATATAGTACATATAGTACATATAGTACATATAGTACATATAGTACATATAGTACATATAGTACATATAGTACATATAGTACATATTTATATGTACATGTGAATATATGTATGCCATATAAAAAGTACTAGCATAGAAATAAAACACATGTCGCTCACATTCTCGACGCTAGGACTTTAAAGAGAGACAAGCGTCTGGCGGGGCGGTAGGAAGAGGCGGGGGAAATGGATATAAAAATGGAACCAAAACTTGGAAATGCGAATGAACATGTGACTGGATAAATTTAGATTTGGTCTGGAGTCCGGCTCCGGGTTGGGGTCGGGGTCGGGGCTCGGTTGGCAGGTCGCGAGCTCCAGCTGAGAGAGGCTCTGCAACGTGACGGCGCACTTTTCGTAACATTAGACGCGCACGCACACAGGCCATGTGCTTGGTAGTAACAGTGACTACTGCGTCTTGGGCTTGAACCCGGCTGCCAACAATGGAAATCATTCATTGCACACACTCGCGCCCCTTTCACATGTGTGCGTGCGCGTGTGCGTGTGTGAGTATCGAGTATGAGTACAAGTCACATGTTTATACGTTATGTTTTATGGACACCCCTCTCTGCACGACAAATAACACCACCCCACCCCCCACCCACCGCCTCCTTACTGGCACGCATGTTGACAACATCAAGTCCAAGAGGGTTGAGTTTTCTGCTCCATGGCAAGCGAGGGGGAGGCGCTGGCAATGGCGTGCGCAGGGTAGGGGGGCATTGTCTGTTGAATTTTCCATTGGCATTTTCCGCATTCGCTCGCATAAATCTTATGCGATAAAATGCGCAGCGTTCAGTTCATTTTTTTTTTTTTGGTTTTTTGGGAGAAAAATCGAATAAGTACATACGACAACAACCCCCCAAGACCCCCCGCCCGACAGCTTTGGCAGGGTAAGAGACTGGCTGCAGTTTATCTACTTGGCTGCAGGGGTGGCTGGCAAATACCCCCCCCCCCCCCGCCGCCCAGCAAAGGGGGTTGCTTTTGTAGGGAAAATGCATGAATTTTGCGCAGTGTTCAAAATGCTCAATAAATTAATGCAAAATGCGATTGCAGAGGAAGAAGTAGGCTAAGGGGCTGGGAGGTGTGTGTGTGTGTGTGTGTTTGTGTTTGTGTTTGTGTGTGCGCTGCAGCTGACAGCTAAAACAGCGGGAGGGGGCGAAATGGGGGAGCGGCGATGAAAAGCTGCCAAAACCAAAAGCAAGAAGTGCGCAACGAGAAAAAACACCTGTTAACCAGTGTATAGATATGTTTGTGTGTGTGTGTGTGTGTGTGTGTGTGTGTGCCTGCATGTGTGTGTGAGTGTGTGTGAGTGTGTGTGTGTGTGCCCTTTGGCAATGGCACGAGCCGCAGACAGTTGCCCGCTGATAATTGCCACAGGCCGAAACACACCGCCCCTCTCCCTCCGCCAAAGCCCAATAAGCTAATAAAGAAGAAGCAGAGGAAGACAAGCAGAAGAAGAAGAAGAAGAATAAGAAGCGGCAGCAGCTAAAGGCAGCAGCAAGTGGAAATTGGCTAAATTCCGCGTGGCCCATATGCAAAATGAAAGGAATTTATAGACTGGATTCAGAGAAGATAAAGAAGCAAGCAGCAGAAGAAGAAGAAGAAGAAGAAGAAGAGGAAGAATAAGAAGCAGCAGCATATGAAAAAGAAGAAGCAGCACACAAGTATTTGCAATAGAAGTGAAATAGCTTCCACGCTCTCGAATATGTGTTTGCAATATTTAATAGAAAATTTCCCGATAAAGAAAAATAAATGTGCCTCAGCTACATAACTATATATAAATGATATATAACTCTATATATATAAATATTTGGTAAACATATATACATATAAAAAACGAGACCGAATGAAATGTTTACCCTTCTTAACTGAAAGTCTACGCTAAGGCGGGGTCATGAGGACATTCTTGGTCAAATGTGAAAAACCGCAGGCTTCTTTTTTTTTTTTGTTTTACTTCCGTTTGGCCTGAAAACTCATTTTGACGGAACTTTATGGCAAATTCATTTGAGAGCTGTTTCAGACTTTTCGTAAAACTCACGGTGCTGGGTGGAAAATGGAAGTCACGTGTGAGATGAGAGAGAAGAAGGAAAATTAAGGGAAAGCAATTCAGATTTGAAATCTATTTATTTTCGATATGAGTCGATATAAGCTAAGCAGCTTTATAGATGCCGATTAGAAGTTTAAAAATAAATAATATTATATTATTATAATGAGATCTTAAGTGTTAGCTAATTTGAAGAATAGTTCAGAGTAAGCTTATGCAAACATTTCTGTCGTATTAACAAGAATAAGTCTGTCTAGCTATCAATCAAAATTTGCCAACAACTTTCCACTTTTTCGCAGCCATAACTCCTTGGGAATTATAAGCGCCGAAGCAAAAAGAAAAAAACGGTGCTTTTCCCTGGGGCATGCAGCTGTGCTTTTCCAGCCAAGCTTAACAAATAATTTAATTGCATTTTTGTATTTAATCAGAAATTTCCTTTTGGTACATTTTTCCATTTGACTTGGAGAAAAGAAAATCCAATTGATGTGTTTTCAATTCCGATTGGACTAAATACGATTGTGGGAAGACCAATTGGAACAATCACACGATGATAATTAGCAATCTATTCGAATATTTTATGATATATATATATTATATCAACTTCTCCGTGGGAAATATTGGGAATAGTGTCGGAAAGTGTCCGAGCACATAATGTGAGAACTGTGAGGATTCGGATAGGAGTGTAAACAGCATTAGGCTAGAAGTTTGCTAAAGAAGATACTTCAGAGATTTTGACCAATTGAATGATTCAGACTGAATTTCAATACTGTGATTAGTGTGATGATTCAACTGTTGATATTTAAGTATATACTAGAAAGCATTCTTTGAGAATGTGAGTAATATAAGCAACAGTGCGAATATTAATTCAAGTCGGTAACAAATAGAAGATTCAAATACTGTTATTGCCATGATGATTCGATAGTTCAGTAGAGACGACAACTGTGATCATTTTGAGGAGTACGAGACATGATTTAAATACTCTGATCGCCACAATTATTCAATTATTGAGTAAAGGCAACAACTATGAGCACTCTGAGGAGTTCGAGACATGATTCAAATACTGTGATTACTGTGGCTGCGATCTGAATACCACTCGCATTGCTCAAGCAAATGTGTGAATACAGTGAAGCACTCGATTAAACAGATTTGCAATTCGGTATCTCTCGGCTCTCAGTCTACTAATCCACTGTAAGCCCGGTGCTAATGAAATCTGTCACTGTCACACACACTGTGCGTGTGCGTGTGTGTGTGTGTGTGTGTGTGTGTTTGCGTATTGCACTGTAGACCCATGACCGGGCCTGATGGACGCTGTACTCGGGACTTTCCCCAACCGCAAAGCCTGACATATCACAGGCCCACCATAATCAGCAGATGATTGGACTGTCGGGCTGGTGCTGGGGCTGGGACTGGGGCAGGGGCTGGGGCTGGGGCTGGGGGTGTCAATATTTAACTACGGTGGGGCGAGCGCATTGCGATAAAATGCGCCAGCGTGTGAGTAGAGTCACGTAGTCTAGGGTGGCGGGGCTTTAAAAGAGAGGGTAACTCTGGTCGAAGTGCTCACCTGTTATTGCAGCTGAAGAGCCGGAAGAAATTGTTGTTGTCGTTGTTGTGGTTGTAGAAGAAGCAGAACTGGCGTGTGTTGGATAATGTTGATTGTCTGTTGATTGTGTTGCTTGGGCTGTTAACCAACACTGCTCGCTATCGCTCTCCTATTAATAGCGGCTCCCTAGGGACGCTCTGGTAACTCCGGTAAGTTGCACTTGGGACACTAAAGCGTGACGCTGTTGTAAGGCATTTTGGTAGCACTTGGGGGATGTAACACTTCAAAAAAATAGTACGATCTATGCGATCCAGGCAGATATATTTCTACATATATACATGCATATATATCTGTTTATATATATATATATATATAATTGGGAGTAGATACAGGTGTTATAGCTCTGTATCCGTTGGAAGCTGCGCCGCGCGCGTTACAAGAACCAACAAATCGACAAAAAAAATATATATATGTATTTCTCTTAATTATTTTATTTTGAAACACTAACGGAACACACGATACACGAATGGGGGTTACGAGTACGGTTACGGGTACGAGTACGGGTACGGGTACGGGTACGGGTACGGGTACGGGTACGGGTACGGGTACGTGTACGAGTAGGTGTTGTTATTTGAATTGGTATAGGTGTATAGTACAGGCGTTGAAAAAAAAAAAACTCAATTTAGTGTTTTTTTTTTCCGGGGACTCTTTGTAAATGTTATTTATTTGTTCTGATTTGTATTTTTTATATTTTTTGTGTTTTTCTTTTGTTTTCAGTTTCAGAGTTGCTCACGCGACGAAACCAACACGTTGAATAAAAGTTCAGGCGAATTTGAAATTCGCTTAAAGCCAATAAGTCCGTCGACGTCGACGAACAGTGGTGGCAGCGACGCCAGCAGCGACAGAGCAGTGGCAGAGCGTTCTAATGCGAGAGCCGAAAGAACAAAACGAAACGGAATGAGAGACGACGTCGTTGGCGACGGCGAATCGAGCTAAAGTCAAATGCAAAGGCGCGGCCCGCCCGTTTGTTGTTGTTGCTGCCGCTGCTGCTGCTGCTGTTGTTGTTGTTATTGTTATTGTTGCCGTTGCCTTTGCCTTTGCGTTCGCTGCTGGCGTTCTAAGCTCGGAGCAACAACAATAACCGCCACTATAAAAATCTAATAAGAACCTCGTCGGCTGTCCGACCGCTCGCACGTTCGTTCGTACGTTCGGGTTTCTTGTGTGTGCGCGCGTTCGGTTTGGGTTTGGTTTGGTGGTGGGCGACGCGCTGTGAAGGCAGCGGGCAGCGTTGCGTTCAAGTCTGGTACACGCAAAGCACTAAAATGCGACGATGCGACAGTCCGACCGACTGGCCGACTGCTGAAGCGGAACGCTGAAATACGAAACAGCCAACGCACGGCAAACAAATAAACAAACGCTGCCCGCAAACATCGACCCAGTGACGGCGGCGCTGCCGACAACAGCCGCGTGGGCTGGACCGGCCCCACGGCGACGGCAGCGACGACGCCACTGCCCAGCCGTCAAATGCTTTAGCGGGAATGCGATGGAATTGAAATGGAGACGCACACATAAATGCGCCCAAAAAAAGCAAAAAGAAAAAAATAAATAAAAAATAAAAATGTTTAAAATATTGCCGGGTTGTTGGGTTTGTATTGGATCAAAAGCTATTGGGCTCCACTCTACATACATTTCATACATATTCACGAGCTACATGCACATACATACATATATGCAAAAATACACACACACGCATACAAATGTACATACATACATTTCTTAATAAGCTTTCTTTACGAACCTTCGGCCGGAAACTGGTTCGCATTATTCTTTAGTTTTAGCTTTAGCTTTAGATTATATACTAAATTATATTATATGATATATTCAGAACCCAAATCAACTGGCAAACTTTACATTCATAAAACAACGCTTTTCTCTTTACGAAAAATGCAGGTCAGACGAAATGTGGAAATAAATCTAATTTGCGCTGTATTTTTATAGTTTAATGATTTTTATTTATATGGAGCATTATTTTTAGAGCTTTGTGCTTCAATGCAGATAAAGAAATAACAAACGTTCAGTACATTTATTTGCAGGAATTAGAACAAACATATCATTAAACTAAAAATCTGTTCTGTGCTTCGTGCATTCCTTATTTTATTTTATATTTAAAAATTCAATTTAAAAATACATATGCAATTTGAATAGATTTGTTTTCAAATAAAACGAAGAGATAAAAATGTAATTTAATTGCATTTTTGATTTCGGTACTCGAATGATGAGTTGCGTGTCAGTGTAGCTTTTTTTTTTTTTTTTTGGCTGAAACGATTTGACATTGAAACAAGCGCCACGCTGCATACGCATTTGAAATGCAGCAGCGCAGCGACTGCGACAGCGATAGCGACAGCGACTGCGGTGACCTTGAAAATACATTTCGTTTTTAATCTGCAAAAGGGGCATGCGCAGCCAGCTTAGTGTGGCAAACAGTTATTGCTGCCGCAATGAGAGAGGAAGTGTTGCACAAAAATAAATATGTATGTATGTGTGTGTGTGTGCATGCTGCTACACGAGTACCTGTGTCTAGCTATACACATGTGTATGTGTATGTTTGTAAACTATGTGCAATTGCACGATAAGGCTGTGGAACATACCTAATTATTGCATAAACAGCAACAACAACCAGAACAACAACAACAACAATAACAACAACAGGTAAAAGCAACAAGAACAAAGGAAGGCAGCGACAATTTGAAATTGTCGTTAACCTCTGATAAGACGCAAGCTCTTATCAGCTGGGCAGCAAAACGGTAGACGCAGGGACGGCGACGGCGACGCCGCCGGCGACACTGTTCGCGGGCCATGGGCGAAGTGGCAGCGGCTGAAGAGCGCGCCCGTCGACTAACTAACAATGCACCCCCTTACACGCACACGCACACACACACACACACACACACACAGATATGCATATAAACATTTAGAAGTATGTAAAATGTTGGGGGCAGTCGACAATCAATCAAATGTTTTGATTTATTTCACAAAGCGAAGCAAAGAGCTAAAATTGTGAGTAAATAAATACACAAACACACACACACAAACACATACGCGCACGCATGTGATGTGGGCTTGGATTTTCAGGGGAGCAGCCGGCGTAGAGCCGGCAACGGCAACAAGCACAAAACAGAAGAATTGGCAAAACAACAACAAAAAACGAGTGGGAACAAAACTTAAGAGAGTGAAACAATAACAAAGCGCGCGCTGCTCGTGACTGGAGAGAGAGAGAAGAGCAACAAAAACAGCAACAGCGGCGCGGCAATATACAACCGGCTGTTTCGGTTTCGGTTTCGCTGAAATTTGAATTCCACCGTTCCAATGCTTGTTTGTCCCACTCACGCGACGACGGGCAGTCGTTAAACGCATTGCGAGAGTTCCTTCAATTGAGCCACATCGTTTGTAACACTGATCAGCGGCAGGCTGCACATTAATATAAATAAGCTGCATTCCAGTTGCACATATACATATGTATGTATGTATGTACATAAACACAAATCGGTATGTGCATACATGTACGTATTTATTTTACGCATTGCATAAAAATATATGTATATGAATACATACATATGCTTAACAGCTATTGCAAAAGTTTCACATTTAAGTGTATGCAAGTTTCGGTGTAACCGAATTGGTATGCTGGCGTTGTGAAAAATTACATTAACAGAGCTGTTGCAGTAGCTGCGTCGCCGTTGACTGCGAATGGATGTTAGCAAATTGTCATCTACAGTTTATTGGAGGCTTTTTTAAGTGCCAAATTTTTCAAACTAACATTAACCGACTGCGAAATGTAATTTGTGTAAATATTTATGAATTAAACAAATTATTATTAATTTATAACATTTAACTTGCTTAAAATTAAACTGTTTAAATTGCAATGTACGAGCATATTTTCTGTTAACGGTGAAGTAACATTAACAGTAGCTCTAACAACAACAAAATAACACGCTTTTGATAATGTTTTCATTTTCATTGATGCTGCGCTGCCTCCGCAGCACGCACATAAAACGAGAGAGAGAGAGAGAGATAGAGAATTTGGCGCTGCTACAGCTTGGCGCTCAGTCAGATACCGGCGGCAGAGCAGTCCATTGTGCTTCGCTCACATTTCGTTTCCAGTGTTCCAAGGCCGTCGTTTGACGCGACGACGACGGGCTCGGCTAGAGGTTCGGGCTCGCCAAGTGAATGTTCAGAATCTATTTTTAGGCATCGCATCGCGTCATGCGGCTTCGCCATACGCTGGCGATGCCGTGATCACGCCGCTGATTGGCCAAAAGCAACGGGCAGAGCAATAACAACAAACGGCGAGCAACGACAACGGCAACTACAACTACTAAGGCAGCAGCGACAAGCACAAAGCACACAGAACAAAAACAAAACACAACAACAACAACAAAAAAGTTCTATGTCGCCGGCGTCGTTGTCGCTTTCGGCTTCTAATAGCGATTTTATAAAGGAATAAAATGAGCATTAAAATCAGCAGCAACAACAGCAGCAGCAGCAGCAGCAGCAGCAGAAGCAGCGGCAGCGACAGCGGCAGTAACAAAACCAGAGCAAGCAATGACAATAGCAGAAATATTGAAATTGTGCAGCGACGCCAAAGACGACGCCGACGCACAAAGCGTGCCAAAATGTAAACAGCCCACAAGCTGCAGAGGACGCAGCAGCGGCTGCTGTGCGCCTGGTAATGCGTGCCCAGTGCGTATAGTACACAAACACACATATACACATACATATGCACACACGCGCTCACAAACAGGTGGCTATTGCAAAGTTATTTTGTTATTTCTTGACTGCGCTGTCGACGTCGCAGTCACCAAATAACATTCATAACTGAAAATTCTGCTGTTAATGAAATGCAAAAACGTGTTATGTAAAGAAAAAAAAATAAAATGAAACAACAGCAACAACAAACGACAAGTAATTTTAATAGCAATTGCTTGCCACTTATGCATCTGTATGCATCTGTGTCTGTGTGTCTGTGTGTGTGTGCACAGTATGCATATGCAAATGTAAATTAATCATTGAAAACTAACAAAATCCATAAAAAAAAATGACAATAATGGGGAGCTATCTAACATAAATACCCTAACAAAAAATAGAATGCAGTTGTAAAAAATTAAAAATATGTTTATTTAGCCATAACAAAATTATCAATAATAAAAAAAATGCATAAAATTATATTAATGCATTTTGGGATTTTACAAAATACTCATACGACCAATTGCCCAATTAAATGTGATGAGTGTGCATCAAAGAGATATTATTAATTGTTAAGAGATAAAAATAGGGTTTCTATAATATATAATTTTGAATTTTTAGATATTTGTTTTTACAGTCTTACAATATTTTACAATGTAGAATTTCCGTAAACCTAGACGAAATTTATTGAATATATTTGATCTTCTCTATGCGACAAAAGATCTTCCGACTTGTAGAAAACTTGGAACATTTTGACTTTTATAATGTCAATTATATTGTAGGCAATATATACATGCCGTACAACAAGGCATATAGGTTCAAGCCGTGAGCCGAGCCAACAATATCTTTCATTCGGTCTGGATTAGATTTAAGAGCAGGTATCAGATACGCGATATACTTATTGCCAATTAATACCATATATATACATATATATATACACACACATATAAAAGGATAATTAAAAAAAACTAAAGGCTATTGGCTCGGCTCACGACTTGAACTAATATGCCTTGTAGTAGGGTTCAGCTCGTGACTCCGTTTTATCACATCTGTGAGCCTAGCATTTGGTTTCAGTCTCCAGTCCAAAGCCTTTAGTTCAATATACTGTAAGCCCTCGGTCAACATAATTTATCCACTTTTATTTATTAAACTCAATACATTTTTCATAGTAACAAAAACTAATTTGGCAAATAATACTGTTTGACATAAATAAAATGTGCTTTTTAACCAAATCTTTTTTCTTTTTCAATGTGGCTCAGTTCAGGCTTCGGTTTGCCTGTTCTACAGCCATTCTAGAGCTTAGTTAAAGGTTTAAGCAATATTTGCACTTTGGCCAATGTCTTGTGCTAGTGTGCACGCCCCGTTTGGCAGGGTATCAAAGCGTTTGTGGGTCGCCTTTGATGCGCCTAACAGTAGGCAGCAGTGGCAGCTGCCCCGCGCCGCTGACAGCTCCCACGAGCTGTTCGCTAAATAGGCGACTATAATTTTTAATAGCTTTTGTTACTCATACGCCCGGTTGGGCACCCCGCCATGCCCTCCTCAACGCCCCGCCCCTCAACCAACTGGCTCGATCGGTTTGGTTCGGTGCGATTTGTTTCGTTTCGGTTGCGCGGCATTGCAATAAATTGTCAGCTATATAGATATATATTATATATGTACATATACATATACACATACATATGCATATCTAGATGTAAATATATGCATATGTATATCTGTGTCTGTGTCTGAGTCTGTGTCTGTGTGCGTGGCAAAATGACTTTGTGGGCAATAATTAGTTACAAATTGAAATAGTGTCACATAAAATGCAAACAAAAAATGAAAATTATAATAAATTAGCGTGTTTTTATTTAAGTGCCGCAATTTGCATATTGATTTGTTCGCTGCGATCCGCGATCTGCGATCTGCGACTCGACCTGAGTCGAGTTTTGGCAACCATCTTGATAACATGCCAACTCACCTCTTCCTCACATCCGGAAATGCCGAATGAACAAGGGGAAGATGAAGGAAGCCTCGTCGCCTGGGCTGTGGAGGGTCTTGCTAAGGAGCATAAATCGAATTGTGCATATTTTCTGTTCAATAGCACTTACTCCTATCTATAGACCAAGCAGATCCTATCCTTATATTATCCATACATTATCCATATAATATCCATAAATACCCCTACAGCTCTTTAAAAACCAAAGCTACAAGCCGACTCGCACCGGGAATTCCGAATTTCTTTAAGCTTACCAAATCTGAAGTCCAGAAGACTTTTTCGAAATTTTTAGACGATATGAAAGAATAGCTAATTTCGATGAATAAAAGTGTTTAAATATAAAATATTGAGGATTTCGAGAGCCGAGCCCGTTTTTCGACAAAAAACGTGTTGTAACTCCTTGCATATTCATCAAATTTCGTTAAAGTGTAGAATTTGATTTTTTGAATGCCAATCGATAGCATTGATCCTTACGCGCTCAAAATGGTATACAATTCCAATATCGGACGTTATTCGTCCGAGATATCCAAAAAAAAAGGTTGATTTTACAAACGAATCGTTTTTTGGTCAACAACTTTTTTCAACCCATCGATTCTTAATTTGATTGATTGCCAATTGATAGTAGGGATCCATACGAACTCAAAAAGGTATAACATTTCAAAATCAGACGATATTTACCCGAGATATTCAAAAGAAACTTAACAACAAAAAAGTTTTCATTTTCGAACCGAATCCGATATTGAGAAAAAACGTTATTTTCATCAAATATAATATCGACTATATACAGGAATGCTGAAATTGTTTTAAAGGGAATATCCTGAAAACTTAGCTTAGCTTTTGTGAACTTAATTTCCCATCACGCAAACCCCTCGATCGCCTCTCGCTATCGACTATATTTAGGAATGTTTGAATTGTTTACCATGTAACTCCCAATAACAATAGCTGTGACCCAGCCCAGAACAGCAGCAGGTCCAGCTGCAGAGGTAGAGAGCCAGAGAGGGGGGGGGGGGGGTGGGAACACACACGAAGCTCGACTGTCGACAACAATTTGAGCTGCAAGGCTGGCGGGGGTGGGGCCAGATTACGTATGCGCAGTGTGGACAGTGTCGAGCTGCCGAAATTTTTGACAGATCACCGTGTCAACGGTTGTCGTTGTTGTTGCCGAACTGAGCTTGTTGTTTACATTGGAAACGAATTTGTTGCTTGTTCAGGGAACAAAGACACAGAGACACACAACGATCTGCAGAGCTACCAAATTGCGCCGTATTCATGCCTCCAGCCTCCGGCCTCAAGCTCTTTAGAGGTACAGCTACAGGTTGTTCAAGCATAGGGCATGCCAAAAGCGATCATAAACAATGCGCCAATCTTTTTCACATTTATGCTGAATTTCAACTATTTTTTAATGATCGAGAGCTTAAGTGATATTGTCACGGTTGTCACGCTGGACCGCTGGCTACTGGATTTGGCGTCTGCCTTTGTCATACCCTGTAATCAGTTAGATGGCCGCGAGCTGTGAGAGCTGGCATAAGCAAATTAAATATATAGTTTCTCGTACAGCCAACAATACCCAAATCTCAGTTTTGTGCTAATGGCCATCACATCAGTCCAAATCGAAAAATGTTCAATTACAAACTATATGAACTCGAGAACTAAAGTAGTTGGATATATTAAATTTTGTATGTAGGCTCTTGTGTAACCAATATTGCATCAATTTCAAACAGTTTTCCGATAACTACCAACACTCCAGTCCAAATCCATTGAAAAGTATATTTGTAAACTACATGATCGCGGTATATCAAATTTCGTATGTAGGCTCTAATATACCCATAAATCCTAAAATTTGTAACAGTTTTATGATAGCTGCCAGCACTCTAGCTTAAATCGATAAAAAAAACCAATTATAAACTATATGATCTCGGGAACTAAAGCATTTAGAGAGATGAAATTTGGTACGTAAGATCCACTATACTTATAGCTGCTTAAACTTTTACTAGTCTTGTGATAACTATCAACACTCTAGCCCAAATCGAACAAATTTAATTATATACTATAGGATCTCGGGAACTACAGCATTTAGGGAGATGAAAATTTGTATGTAGGCTCTACTGTACCCAAATGTGCTTAAATTACTAAGAGTCTTCTGATATCTACTTACACTCTTGCCCAAATTGAAATAGTTAAACTACTGACCATATGATCTCGAGAACTAGAACAGTTAGAGAGATGAAATTTGGTATGTAGGGAATTCTATACCCACAAAAGCTTAAATATCTAACAGTTTTGCGATAGCCAGCCCAAATCGAAAACGAATGATATTATAAACTATATGAACTCGGGAACTAGAGCAGTAAGAGCTATACAAAGTCATATGCAGGCTATTAGGTATTTTTGGTGCAGGGTATCTGCCAGTTGGGCGCACTCAACACTGACTAACACGCTGGCTTGTTTTCGTTTGGCGTTTTTTCGTTTTCCGCATGCCAATCGGCAGCAGAGGATGTGAGGAGGGCGAAGGGGGGAGGGGAGGGGAGGGGAGGGGGGGGTGTGAAGCGAGGAAGCCAGAAGTGTAGAAATTGAAAAGCAATGTTCGAAAGATTAACACGTTGACCAGCAACAAAACGAGACATGGCTCTGGGGGCATTGTTTGTCAAATGAGTCGCAGCGGGTTGGCCCGGGTTAAATGACACGGCCGACGGTCAACCTGTCCCAGAGTCAAGTATTTCATATGATTATTGATTATTATATTAGATCTCGGCGACGGCAACGGCGACGGCGACGGCGACGGCGACGGCGAATGCCAGAATAGTCAAATCAAATTCTAAGCTGGCAAACACATTAATCACAGCGATTAGCTTGTCAGCGAACACGACTCCTCGCAGCCGAACCTCGATTTGTTATGCAAATGTGATCTGGTATTGGGCTATGCGATTAGTTAACAGCTTTTTGATCGGCTTAAACAAGGCAAAGAAATGCCAGGGCTAAGGTTAAGTGTCAAATGAAGACATCGCCCGACTCAGCCGACGGTTGCCTATTCTCTATATGAAATTGGCACAATGTGCCACATTGTAAGGCATTGCAAATGGATTCCCTGTTCCCCTCCCCCCCTTCCCCAATTCCCACACAAGCCGCCATTTCTCCATCACATCTTCATAAAGGCCATGCAAAGATGCACGCGACGTTTTTATGGCACATGCAAAGCCATAAAATGCGAATCGGTGGAGGGGTGAAAGCTATGCGAATGACTACGCCAAACTATGTTTGTATATAGAATATCTATTGGGAATGGCAAGGAAATTGCATATACCAGCATACAATGTATATGCCAACTGGCCAACGGCTTAAAGCGCCACCTGTCGCCGCCTGTCCGCAGCTGTCGACTGCATACTGGCCGCAACATGAACGTACTCAGTCGATTCGCCGCCTAGTTTCTGCTTAGATAGTGCATAGGAAATGCTCTGACCCATGCACAAGTATTTTTATCGTCGAGCTTGTCAATTCGGCGAAGCAGTAAAAATATTTCTCTCATAATACCGAAACGACATGCTCCACATTTCTCAATCTAACTGAGTCATGGGCTATATTCGCTCTCAACTCCGCCAAGTACTAAGTAGCATTAGCTTCGTTTGGCTACTCGCTTTGTTCTCGCCACATTTCGGCAAATACTCGCTGATCGAGGCGACTCGCTACATGTTGCCTAAGTTTTCAATTGCACTCGTTGCAAATGTTCACTCGCTTTATTTTTACACTCGTTGCTTTAGACGCACACGTTGGAAACTACAATGCGTAAGCTCGCTAATTTTTACTCGTTATTTATGCTACCGCTGATTGTTACCCAAGTCATTAATATCGCAGTTCCGTTCGTTAACTATTTTTACCAGCAACATTTCGGCGAACACTCGCTAGTCTCGGCTACTCGCTACGTTTTATACATGAGCTATGAACTCCAAACGTTGTTTATGTTCATTCGCTTCATTTTTACAAATACTCGCTGCCTTAGACTTCAATGCGTGTACTATCTTATCTCTACTCGTTATATTTGTGTCAGCTGTCTTTATTCCAAGAAGTTTATATAGCTTATAAAATCCATTTGCCACTAAACTATGTTGTATCTTCTTAGTACTTGCTCCAAGTCATTTATGTAGGCTTTAAAGTCCACTCGCTATATTTGTTATTGTTTTCGAAACTATGTGGACTCTCCCTACGCCAGTAGTTGTCAAACCTTCTCAAATTTATGTACCTAAGTAATTTTCATCCTAACTATTTAACAATATTGTATTAAATCGGGTTTAGGTTGATAAGCTACTTAGTCGCTAGACCACTTCACCACTTAATCGTCAATTTAATTACTCGTTGCAGTTCTTAGCTACTCGCTACGCATTCTAGATTTGTACTAGTTGCATTTTCTACTCGCCGATAACTAGCTTTCAAATTAGCTGGTCTCAAGTACAACACGTAATTATGTTACCCACTCGTTAGTTTTACTCGTTTACTCGCTGCATTCACGCACTCGTTACTTGTGGCTCGACAACATGAATGCTCGCAATATTTGCAATTAAAAACTCATTTTGGGGGCATACAAGGACCCCGCAACTGCGACCTTCCCACTTAGTAAGCCCCACCTGCTGTTGTTTTCTTTCATTTCTAGCTACTTACGGCGCAAAGCAGCGACAGTTCCCACACGTAACCACCGCGATAAGAGCCACTTGAGCTGTTGTGGTGTTGCGAGTGCCGGCGGGTGGGTGGGTTGGGGGTCGGTTCAAGTATCAGCGGCACCAAATTAAATCATTGAGCATTCTCATTCATAACGCAAGCCCTATCGCTTGTTGTGGCTTTTATGAGTACGCGGCAATTCAGCGGAAAAGCCAACCGACCAAATTGCGAAGGCGAAAACTTGCAACTGCAACTGTGACAACAACAGCAACAACAACAACAACAACTCTGAATAGCTATGCAAACATTATTGTCTGTGGGCAGCGGCAACAACACGCAAGTAAAACGCTTCCGGCCTTGTGCCCAGCTCCATGCCGCATACACATCCTCCCCCTGCCCAACAAAGGAGAGGCAACAACTTGGCTTACACTTCGGTTCTTTTCCCATACCCTGAACCCATTCAAAATGGCCAAATGGCTTTGTGCAAATGCACGTAACAAATGAAAGGCAACATCCCTGAGCTCAGGCGGACGAGTTGACTCGACCCAGACATGTCTCTTAGGGATTTCAACAGCTGGATATTGGAAATTCGAAATGAAATTCGAAAACTCCAAAGAACTTGACTTTTTTGTTTCGATAACTCAACCTCTTTCCCTAAAATCGATATATATCGATA